TATAAAGAAAAATGAAGCAATATATACAAAATGCCAGTGAAGTTTCACACTTAGTAGTCGTTGTTGTTTTGTGCTTGTTATTATCATCATGGAAACTATTAGGAAGAAGACTGATCTGAGAAGACATCTGAAGGCTGAATATGATTTTGATGGCCAGAGAAAGGAGGTAGGGAGAGGGATTTTAAGCTGATCAAAAACATGTGAAAAGGCTATTTTTGCAATTCTACTTGTAAGTGACATTTGTTTCTTCCTTTGTTTTGGAAACTAAGGGATTCTTTTATATAAAAGGATTCAAGAAAAAAAAATTGAAGCTGAAACTCACTGACAGCAAACTACCAAAGCTATATTCACGTCTAGGCTTTTCAATATTTTTATGGACTAAATGATCTACAGTCTTTTCCTTCATAAATCACTGAATCATCTTGCTCTAATAAATCTTCGTGAATGAAAGTAAAGAAAGTCTCTGTCTGGGGCCAAATTGAAAAGGGAATCCTGGGGGCTTGTGGTTGTGGGAAGGGGAGGGCTGATAACTCAGGGCTTAGATTTTAAAGCACTTATGGCCTCAACACACAGCTGTGGCCCGCCATGAGCTAACAGCTCTTGCATCAAGCTACCTCAAGACCAGCTACCCTATCCAAGAAAGGCTCGTCCAGAAAATCATCAGCTCATCAGACAAAGAAATACCACAGAGGCTTTTTTTTTTTTTAAACTGGCCTCTGGGTCACAAAGAAAAGTGTCTCCTGACAATTCTCTCTAACAGACCTGCTATCACCCATGTCTGAAGTTCTAATTACACTTCCTCCATGGTTTCAGGAAGCCTCCAGCTGACAAATTAATGAAAAAAACTGATAGCACTGGATTAACTGATAAACGGAAATGTAAAACCACTCTGCAGGGATATGTCCTCAAGTAACATTACACATAATTTCCCAGAAAAAGTCTTTCTGATGGTAAACTCAAAATTTAAATTTCTAAAATATGGGCTTCAGCAACAGTTAGAAGAGTAGCTATAACAACAAAAGGATTAGATCTCTAGGAACTTTAAATAATAGAGCTCTCAGACTAAAATAAAGGTTTAAATGTATAAAAACTTTGCATTAAGATTAAAATTAAAAAGATAATGAAGCATTGTGAAAACATAACTACATGCTTTAAAAAAGAACAAAATATAATTGTATAAATTTAAAGAATAATTGTACTTGATCTTAGCCAAAAGGCTGAGAAGCAATTTAAAAAAAATAATTGAAATAAGAAAATGTAACAGACAGGTTAAATAGCTTTTTGGATATAGCTAAAGAGAGACTTGAAGTATTTGAATATAGATCTGAAGGCACAAAGAATTAAAATTTGTTAGAGGGAGGCTAAGAAATGTGGAAGATAGAGCAATAAGATCCAGCATATATCTAATCCAAGAATAAGAAAGGAAGAGTTGAAAGGCTGAAAGACAGGCAGTATTAAAAAAGGTAACAGAACATTTACTAAAAAATTTTTCTTTTGAAATGGAAAGCCCTTCTAGCACTCTGGAGGCTGAGGCAGAAGGATCACTGGTTGACATCAGCTGAAGCTACACTGAGGTTCCGGACCTGCCTTGACTACATGGTGAGACCTTGTCTCAAAAAGCCAAGCCAAGCCAAACCACACCACACCACATCACACACCACACCACACACCACACCAAGCCAAGCCAAGCCAAACCACACCACACCACATCACACACCACACCACACACCACACCAAGCCAAGCCAAGCCAAGTCAAACCAACCTGAAAAGCCTTCCACTTAGAAAGTAGATGTTCTAAACAAGATGTGCTGCTTTAGCACTGGTGGACAAGATTAACTGGATATAAATATCCTCTCAAAAATTTTGTAGTTTATGCAGAGAGATAACAGAAGTACAGACAAAAGAAGTGCTAAAGAAAGGAGCCTGGCGATTGCTTCCATTTGAAAGAATCAGATCAACAGTACTGGAATCCATGCTGTTTGTCTTGGCTCACAAAAGACGGATAAACTGAATGTATGAAGAGGAAGTACCATCTGCTTTGTACGCCACTGTTGCTCACCCCTCAGTTGTGAGGCCATCCTCTAATAGAGAATCTTCAAGATTCTTCTCTTATGTTCAAGACAGACCAAAAAAAAAAAAAAAAAAAAATCAAAAACTCTCAGGGGCTGGGGAAATAGCTCAGTAAAATAAGCGCTTGCCTGGCAAGTACAAGGGCCTGAGTTCAATCCCCGGTTCTGCCAAAAAAAAAATCAAGACAGAGCCCCGATTTTTGCCTTTTATTCAGAGACCCTGTGTTGTGCGCTTAATTCATCTTCCTACATCTATTTCCCAACAACTCCCTTCTTGGATCCCATAACCCCGGCAGGCCAAGATTCCCGATGCTTTTGGTGGGAACTTTATGTTTCTCTACCTTTCTTGCTATTTGCGATATGGTAACAGCTTTGAATAAAAGGCAAAGTTCTGCAGATTTCTCCTGAAAATGATTGGAGGATCTTAAAATATTTGAAGCAGGAAAAATAATATCAGAACTGTGCCTTAGGAAGATTGAACAGCAGTGCTCTGTGGGGTGAATTAATAAAGGAGGTTCATGGAGCTCAGGAGCTTGGACTACATGCCTGCATGTCACTGCCTGGGGAGGCACAAGAGGGACCAAACTATCCACTTAATTTGATGAAGATTCTGGACATAAATATCATGCACATTTCAACAGATCCTTTAACACAAGAGAAAGAAATCCATCAAAATATTACTATGTTGGCTTCTCTACATTGGTACTTCCACTACACCCAGATACAAACTGTCTATGAAGGCCCTGATCCTGCCAGATATTCAATACTAGAGTCCCAGTTCAATGCCAATCAACTGAGAACCTACATATGACTTGGATGGTGATATTTTCCCCATAGACTATTACTTCTACATAAGTGTAACCCCAGACCACTTTTAAAATTAGTCTTCAGTTCCTCTGTTCAACAGGAGTTCATTTCCAGTTTAAAAAAGTATTACCCAAGAGTATATGTTGAGTTGATTTAGTATTAAGTTTAGTATTAAATACTGTACAAGAGCATTGTATTTTAAAAAAAATATTGGAGTGCAAGTCATATCACATATCAAACTTCTGGCATATCTACCTGGACCCTTAAGGCAGATAATTCAAGATCAATTCCTACAGTTTCTTCAGTGTACAATTGATTCTCTGTACAGAAATTGCTTCTTTTCCAATACAGGACTGTAGTATGATTCCTTGTCTTAATCTTTGGAAAGATTATGAAACATTTGCTATAGGACATGCATCATCATTTTAGAAAACTGAGCGTTACCCCAGTAGTTATGTTTCTGGAAAAGTGAGTATAAATCAAGTTTTTGTAAGTCAAATCATCATTTAACTGTCCCAGGGGAGCTCATTATTTAATAAAATAGTATGGAGTGAATAATCACATTGTGATGTGGCTTTTCATAAGCCAGGGCACACCTGTATGGCTCTCTGTCATGGCTATAGGACTTCAGTACACAGAAGAGTTTGAAGGTTGCCAGGTCTGCCCTGGACTCCAGTCAAGGGAATTAGGTTATTGAGTACTGAGGATCTTGTTACACGGCAGTCTCATTTCTAAGCTCCCTCACCCTAGGCTCTATATTATGTGTTTTAAAAAGATTGGGAAATTTTACCAAATGTATGTGTTTTAAAGTATAGTAAGCAAGTTAATTTGCTCTGATTATGTGTGGATATTTTCCTGTCCCTCAAAACCATTTGTTCAATTAGAGAATGTTAAAGTCCTCAATGTATAAATTTCACAAATCTTTTATTTATTGGCAGAGATCTAGATTTAATCAAAGCTTAATGTTTAAAAGTAAGGGCAACAATCTGACTCATGGAAAATGCAAATTAAAATAAACCACGTTAAAATATGCAAAAACATTTTAACAAGAAGAAAAAAGAAAGCACTTACTCTATTACTCTCTCACTTCCTCTTTGAATTGCCCTGGTGGCTTCCATTTCCCAGCAGGGCGACACTGTAGCCTAGAAACATTACACACCTTCAGATACAGACTTTGTGCATACTGTGAAGAAAGCCTAGCAATTGAAGGCCAGGGGAGGAGCGATGCATCTGTCAGCAAGTTTCAGTGGCCCTCATCATGTAGCCCAGGTTCTGTTGTTTCAGGCTCTCTGGGAAGTGGACAGAATTCTCCCTGTATGAGATGAGCTGAGGGTAATGTTGACTTACACTGAAAGCAGCTAGGTTTTAGGAAACTGATTTGTCAGTATACACATGCACAAGAGTTCCTCAAAAATACACACACACACACACACAAACCACACGAATTCACACTGCAAAATTAAGTTGCAAGAGACAGTTTTATATAGCTCAAGGTTCTCCTGCTTCAGTTATTTGAAGAGCATCTGCTGACCAAAGAAAAAGTATCTCATTACAGATTGGAATGAAAAATACTGTATGCAAGACCCCCGGTGCACATGTCCACACCCCAGAAGGCTTACATTTTGCCAAATTACTGAGTATTAGTGAACGGATCACTAAACATTTCCATTTGTTAAAGTGCTACTCTGTGCACCAGGCACTGTAGTAGGCATTTTGTCTGCATTATGTTGAATTCTCACAATAATCTTGCAAGGTATACATCATTATTCCCATGGCACACAAGATCAAAAGACACTCCGAGAAGCTTAGTAATTTGCCTTAGGCTACACAGCTGATAAAATGTAGTATTGGGATTTGAAACTTAAGCGGGTTACCCATAAGGTCTTTATAAGTCTGTCTTGCCACTTCAGAGTTTATTTATAATGTATAATGACCTTGAATTCTGAATACTTCATTTTGGAAAAAAAAAACCCAATAGCAGCTATGGTTTCTAAAACATTTTAATATATTAATCTCATGCAGAGGGGGCCTGCCCCTTAGCTCAGTTCTTTAAGTGGCTGCTTCAATGAAGCCTTCAGGCTCAGGTTGTTGTGGTTCCATCCCCACAACTCAAGTCAGCCAAACCTGCCCTGAAGGCATTTGGAGAAAAAAAAAATCCTTCTCATGCAGAAAGGAATGACTATTTCCACGTTGCAGATGAAAAGTCAAAGTCTGGAGAGTTTAAAGCATTGTCTCTTTCAACATCCTCTCAGCTGACGGGGAGGAAGGTGTGTAGCCAAAACCCCTGTAACATAAGGAAGGAGAAACATGACACAGACCTGGCAGGAAAAATATTCGAGGAGGGGGAGTGGGAAAGGGGCAATTAATCAGACAAAGATCCAAAAAGCATCATGGGGCATTTGGCCTTTAAACCCAAAGGCCAATGGATATGGGATCCCAGGGATTCTGCAATGGGTCAGAAGAGTGGTAGCTTTTAAATGTAGGCTCATTACCTCTTACCCCCCTCACAAGGCAGAAAGCAGGATTTGGAATGAGAGTCCGTCAAGGAGATGAACCCATCTAAAAAGACAAGCAGGATAGAAAGCCTAGCCAGGTGCATTCCAGGGCAGAGCGGCTGAAATTTCACTGTTCAAGCGAATTATGGGTTAAAAATGCCGATTTTGATTTTCTAATGAAGTACGGCTGACGCTTGGTGCTGCCGGTCTGCGGACTACACTTTCCGGGAGGGAGCATCCGATTAACCTGGAAGCCGTTAGGGAATGCAGAGGGCTCGGCCTCCCTGTGGACTTACTTCACCAGAACATGCATTTTAACAAGATCCCCAGGTTCTTTATGCATAGTGAACTTTAGATACATTCTTGTAAGTGATTCTCTGTCAGTGGAAGGGATCAGAAGCTGACTCCGGCCATCGCACGCCAGCGCCTGGTTTCCCACAGGGGAGAGGTCCGGGCCGGCGAAGTTGCTCCTCCTGAACCTAGACCGGTAGCAGCGCCGGGAGTTGCTTGCCTCGTAATCCCCCTTGCTGGGTTCCTTCCACCCAACCCCTGCTTCCCCGGGGCGCTCCAGCTGTTTCCCACCCCCACACCCAGGCAGCTACTGTGCACAGCTGGAGCCTCGGCTGCTGGAGTTCTGAGCTGCGGCAGCCGCGGCAGCCAGGCGGGGGCGCCCCAGACCAGGCTGTGCTGGCGGAGGCCGCGCCGCGCCGGGAGAGGGCGACCGAGTGGAGCGGCGGGCGGGGCAGCGCGAGCTAGCTCTGGTGCCAACCCGCGCGGCCTTGGCAGCCCTGGCGCGGCCCCACATTCCCACACCGCGGGAGCCGCGGCTAGCTATCTGGGAGGCGGTGCGCATCACCCTAACATGCATTTCATAAACCCGTCGGGAAATAGTTCTCCAGCCCCGCGGGCCAGTCGTCAGCGACCTTGTCTCCGAGGAACTGCTGATCGTAATCCCTGAGTTGGGTGGGAGTTCAGATTAGAAACCGACTATTTATATCCTCATCATTAAGCAGCAACCAGCAACCACTCCACCCCTTACACAGCATACACTCATGATGAGGAGGTGGGGGGCTGTCGAAGGCGCAGGGGGAGGGAGCAGCGTTGTTAACCCTAATGATTTGCTAAGAAACCCGGGTACAAAAACGCGATTTACGAAACGGCAAGCTTTATGAGGTAGGGAAGGTGACCCGGCAGAAAGCGCGCCGAGCCGCCGCCTCCGGCTCACCGGGGCTGGCTGGCTCCGGGCGCGGTGCGTTCGCAGCTACACGGGCGGCGCGAGGATTTCGCTGGAAGAGGAGCCGGCTGAGTGTCCTGGGCCCAGCTCCGCGCGCCGCGACCAGGGCGACCCCGCAGCCCCACCGTCCCTCTCTCCGGCGGGGGCCCAAGTTAAACCCGGCGGGCGCTGGAAGCGCTCTTAGCCTGCGAGCTGCGGCTCTTTGCAGGCACTGCGCGGCGGACAGTTTGAAGTCAACGCTTCGCTCAGCTGCCGGCGCCGGGGTGTGCGCCTTGGCCCCGGCGTCCGTGGAGGGCTGCGCGTTTCTCCCAGGATGTCAAACAAAACCAGTAGTCTTAACATTTATTAAGGCTTACGTGTTCTGTCTCGAGGCTTATCGGGTCTGCTCAAACTTTTGAGGGTGTGCAAGTGCGCGCGTGTCTCCACCCTCCTCCTGCACCCCACCCCCACCCCGCCCGAGCGGGGCGAAGTAGTCCTATAGAGCGATGATAAATATCCCTGTTGATCACTTGATTGATTACCTCCCTGAAAGGTCACGCGGGCTCGCAGTAATTTCCTTTTGCCTAAGGCTTCCTTTTCACTTTTACTCCGGCACGACAGCTCCGAGTACACGGGATCTTTATTTTTTATTTTAACCCCTAAATGCAACCCCTCCCGAAAACAATGCAGACAACAAAAATCGAATAAAGTCAACTCAAGACCTTTTTTGCTCCCTTGCAGCCTACCTCCTCATCTTGTTCCTTTCTTTCTTGTCGCCCCCGCCCCCTCGGTCTCCGTCCCCCTCTGTCCAACTCAAATGTATTCTGGACACTATTTAATAGATCAGTGTCTTGCAAGTAAACTCAGGCGTCCCTTGGGTCTGCAATTCAAGTCCGTGACTCTCTCTCTTTCTCTCCTGTGAACTGAAAATTCGGATTTAGACCACTAGACAAGCTATTAATTTAGCTAGGCTACCCAGGGTCCTGAACCCAATTAATTTCTAATAATTATAGCCCAAGGGGGCTAGATAGATCTCCCTGCCTCTTTCTTTTATTGCCACTCCACGCCACCGAGGTCAGCGTATAATAATAAAGTGTATATTTTGAAAGCGATCTCTAGAACAGTGAGTTATTGCAATGAATGAAAATTGTTTCCATTTTGGCTAATTGAGCCCGTGGCCGAAGGCTGGAGCTCTGAGACTAAATAAAGAGGACTGTTTCATTTCAACATGAAGAAACCCCTGCCTAGCTCTGGTCACCCAGCGAGATTTTAATTTCTTAACAGCCAACCTGAAACCAAGCGTTGGGTAAACAGTATTAATAATTGCATTACAATGATTAAATTAATCTTGCTGGTAGCCAAGAGAATATAGGTTGCGACTGAATAGCACGATGTAAAGTTCACTGCACAGAGACAATAGGCCAAGAAATACCTCCAAGGAATTCAAACTTTCTTCCACAGATACTGTGGGGCTAGCTCAATTATTATGCGAGGAAAGGAAAATGTCCTGTTGCATGTAATGTATTGAAAATCGGATCGTTGTCCTTTCTAGCTGTAATTAAACATAGTTGGAGGAGGGAGATACTCATCTGTCCTTTCCAAAGGTTCATCTTGCTCCCAACTTCCATGTAGACCTCCCAATTTATGCTTAAAACAAAAAACAAACCCCAAACCCCAAACCAAGCAAACCCAAGCTCCCTGTAAGCTCAACGACTTTCCAAAAAGACACTGCCTCTAGGATGGTTGCTTTGGTGGGAGGAAACTCGAGAACACATTAGACCCAGCCGACTTCCCCCATTCCCAAGGAAACGAATTTCAGGAGGGAAAGGGTAGGCGGGAGGTAGGGGGGCAGGCTACGAAGGCAGCTCGGACAACTTGTTGGAGGCCTCTTTTCTTTGGGGCCAGCGATAGCTTAGATGACCCGTCAGAGGGTGTCGGGAACTCCAGGGGCCCCAACACAGTCACCTGCTCAGATCTCACGGCTGGGACTGGGGACAGGTGGAACTGACGCGGTCCAGGCCCTTGGGAATGGGAACTCTCCAGGCTGGCCGAGCACGGGGGCGGCAACGCTGCAGGCAGTGTGCTGCGGTTGTTCCCGAGTGTTTGCTTCGTTAGGTTAAACACACGTGAACTAGCAACCTAGCTCTTTTATTAACTCACACTCAGGGCAGAAAACAAGTTCTTGAAAAAGAAAAGGGAGGGTGGGGACAGAAGAAAGAGAAAAAGGAAAAGAAGCCAAACTCAGCTTTCAGGTTTGAAAATGTAAGTGATGGTACTGTGAATACTTATATTTATTTAAAATAAAAAGAATAATGCCTTGCGTTTCACAATGCGTTAGCCTGGGGATACAGGAGACTTTGTTTATTATTTCAGTTAGATGGACTCTGATTCTCTTGTGTTCCAAAACCTTGAAAAGACCAGAGAGAAAGGCTCCGATACTAAACTGATTGCAACTCCGGGTTTGCAAAAAAAAAAAAAAAAAAAGGGAGGGTGCTCTGCCGTGCCTGTCTCACCCCCAAGACCTTCACACCGGGGGTTCAGAGACTCTGATTCGATTTCCTCGATCTTCCACCTCCTCTAGCTCCCTTTCACAGCCCACCTCCAGCCCACCACGTGGTGTGTAATTTCTCAGCAGAAACAAGCAGCCCGGTTTCACACGTGGATCTTATATTTAATCTCAGGGTTTGATTCCATGATCCCTTCCTTTCCTAGAAAATTCCCTGAGACCTCTTTACTCCTTTCCAAGGGAACCCAAATATAGTCCGGCTCCCTGGGGGACGCACGCCAAGAATTAACTGGAGGTGTGCGTCGGGGAGAAAGGGCAGCTCCTTGTTTTTCTTTTAAAAAGCCCCTCAGGGTGGGCAGGTGGGATGAAAAGTCCCAGGCAGAACTTCCTGCTGCCCAGGGCAGCCTGGGTGCAAGGGCTCAAGCGGACTCAACCTCTCTTCCTTGCAGAGGAGGCCAAGGCCCTTTAGGTTCGACAGCTAGGCTCATCCAGTGCCTCCTGTGTCTTCTGGGCAGTGCTCCCCCGAGGCCCCCGCAGACCAGCTGGAAGAACTTCTCGCCCACCAGCCTACTATATTTTCTTAAGAGATTTTGTATCCTTTCCAGAGACTCTCAAGCCTCCCAGAGGCACTCCATCTAAACTGAGAGGAACTGAATACATTTGTGTTTGGGGGAAATTTTAGAGTTCCAGACCGCTGAGGACCCACACATAATGGTGCAGTGGCTGGTGCTTTTGCAGGCATCAATCGTGAAAGCATGCTCACCTGGACATGCAAAGCAACAAGACAGCATTTTGGGGGGTGGGGTGGGGGGAGCGAACCCATGTGCCCCTTGAGTCCAGGAGGATGACAGAGGTTTAGTCCACACTGGCACGAGAGAACCTTTTTCTTTGAGAAGTTGTTTCACTCCTGCTTCGTATAATTCCCCCTCTTCCCCTTCCATTCCTCACATTTCAGGCTTACACATTTGTCTCTCTTGGGACCTGTAGCTTGTTTCTCCAGGGATCTGTATCTTACAGTCAAATGCTACCAGAATTACACAGCTCTGGAGAGAAAAAAAAAAAAAAATATGACGGGCATCTTTAGTGAGAGTGGAATCTTTTAAATTTTGATTTTCGTGGACATTGAGGTCCTCTGGGTTGAATCTTGTTATCTCTCTCACACTCCTGGTCCTAGTTTTGACCATTAATGCCAACAGGTGCAATTGGGCATTCTCAATGATTCAGCTTTTTGATATCCCATGTCTTAAGACTTGTTTTCTTTTTCCTTGAGTATCAAAGATGTATTGTTGTGGCACACAGACTGAAAAGATTGTAATTTTCTTTTATAGTGTCTGGCAGGATTTGCAACAGATATTAATGGGAACATAAATAGCACATAGAAAGTATCGAACAAAACTGTTTAATGCAAGGAGGTTGTACCAAAAGAAAATCTGTACGGATTTGGGATTGATTCATACCTTGAACACATCTAATCCCTTTGGGAGTTCCCCCCTTTCTTCGTGTCCACTTCCTTGGTAAATCCTGTAATTAAAACAAATTTCAACAATGTATACTTTTAAGGTTCCTGTGTACACGTGCAGTTTCCCTTCTTTTCCTCCTCCTCGTGACCCCAGGGGTTGCAGGTTTAAGTGAGTGAGTGAAAATGGCATGCTGAGCCGCAGCGACAGGGAGGCGGACGGGCCAGTGATGGGGAGGCCGGAAAGTGACAGCCAACCTTAGGAGGTCCTGGGTGTTGTGTGCCCGTGCAGAGCGGGCCCTGGGAGTCAGGGGTGACGGTTACTATTTGATGGTACCAGACTACGGAAATATTCGAAGGACAGCATCAAGCCCTGCTATGACACCCCTAGAACCACGAAAGTAGCATTTGTTTTGCTTCCAACTCTGAAAGCGGAAGCCAAAGTAGCTTTAGTAGCAGCAGCAGTTGAGTTCTCAAGTTCAAAATGATTCTCACTTTCTCCTGAGTGATTCGCCAAGGTTCAGCCTTTCTCCTAGTTCGTTAGCAGAGGAAATATTTATTTTCCTTCCCAACGTCTTGCTTTCTCAACAGATAGTACAGACAATTTTCTACAATTTATGTCGGAAAAAACACCAGTAGTAGTTATAACACAGGCTCATTGGTGATTCCAACGCGGAATCAATCCTCTGCCCAAGCCTTTTCATTCCTCCCCCCCAGCCCCCCCGCCCCGGGCGAGGTGTCTGCTCCCCTCCAGCTCCCCGCGCTGGCTCCCCGCCCCCCGCCGCCCTCCCCTTGACTCCCTTTCTCCGCCTCCTCGGCGATTGCCATCTGACAAGATCTCCAAATCAAAGTGATAAATCGCTCCAAACTTTTTTTGGCGGCGCTGAGATGTTGGAGGGGCGTGTAGCGCGCATGTGCGAAGGTGTCCAAACTGACAATGCTAGAGAGATAGCGAGTGTGGATTGAAAGAAAGGGAGAGGGAGGGAGCGTGAAAGAGGGAAAGACAGAGTGTGTGGCAGTAAGTGTGTGTGTGTGTGTGTGAGAGAGAGAGAGAGAGAGAGAGAGAGAGAGAGAGAGAGAGAGAGAGAGAGAGAGAGAGAAGTGAGAGAGAGGGAGGGAGGGAGGGAGCGAGCGAGAGAGCAAAAGAAGGAAAAGATCCAAGGAAAAAAAAAAACCCAACCACACACCAGCGGCTGCAGGACTGGGCACAGCATGAGATCCAAAGGCAGGGCAAGGAAACTGGCCACAAGTAGGTGCAATATCCCTTTTCTATTGGCTTTCCCCCTCCTCTGCCATCTTGCATATCTGTCTCCAGGACTCCGGGACGGAGCGCGGGCTGCCTCTTGCGCGGGGCGCCGGGTGGAGGGCAGGCACAGTGCAGCCCCAGCAACCTGCC